AATTTTTATAAGCCCAAGTTCTCTGAAAGAGAAAAATATTGTATAATAACATAATAAGAAATAGTTAAATAGTATAAAAACAGTTATTATGAAACCCTGAATAACCAACCTAATAAATAACTCCGGTTTTACCGAACTAAAAGAGTGGTTTAATGAGCAAGATGATGCTTTTAAGCAAAATTTAGAAACAAGCATCGTTAAAAATCTTAATACGCTAGAACTGGCTATTGCCAAGCAATTATGAGAAAAACTATTACCAGAAGTAACTAAAGAACTAAATAATTTGACAACTAAAGATTGGAGCCAAAGTGATTGCTATATATTAGCTCAATCAATAAAAGTTGAAAATTTTTGTTGAACTAAAGACCGTCACTTCCATCACGGCTGCTTGCCTTTAAACCAAGAACTATTTTCTCACCTTTTACAGTTAAACGGATGAGTTGCGGAAGAAAACATTGAGCCAGCAGTACATCATTTTTTGTCTTCGCTACCGGTAATATTTAATAAAACTATAACTAATAGAAGGATAGAATACATAAAGTCAAAACTGGAAAAGAGTAATATTCAAGTTAAAGAATTAGAAGACTATTTTAATCAAAAACTTTTTGGCCATAGTTATAGTGATTGGGAAAATCAAGTGAGGTCAGGTAGCATCAGTGCCAGTTATTTAATTGACCTGATTGAAAAAGTGATAGCGAGAAAGAATTTTATCCAATTACATTGACCAGAGATATACTTAGAAAACCAAGACGAAAAAGGAAATACCTTTCTTACTCCCGAAGAAATAGAGTTTCTACTGGAAGAGATAAGAAATACTAGTGAAAACGGGTTAGAAGAATTTTTCTCCACTCACGGAGAAAAAAGCGAGAGGCGTAACCTAAAATTCATAATAAAAAAAAGAAAAGAATTTCGTAATATAGAGGAACGAATTGAACAGATGGTTCGTAACGAAGATTTCTATGAAGAGGAAATAAAAGCTTTAATTACTCGGCTCAAAAAATTAATTGATTGAAATAGACTGGAAAAAAGTCTTAAGATTTACGATCTTGATTATGCTTGTTGAAGTGTGTCG